AGCGAGGGCGCGTGCGCGCCTGGGAAGCCTGTGCTGGTGTGCTCCAGCGCGGTGGGGAGCTGGTCCTACTCTCAGCAGAGGAGGCAGAGGGTGTGCTCTGGGGAGGGCCCGCCCAAGACCGACCTCATGGCCTTCAGTCCCAGCCTTCCTCATGGTCCCACCTCTGCAGACAACGTGAGTCGTAAATATTTTTGTTTTCAATACTTTGAAAATGTGAATTTCAATGGGTTTGGTTTTTAATGTGCCTAATCCCAGGAATACAGCCTGAGTCAGGCTCATCATGAATTTGACGCTTGTCTTTGGTGTGTAGACGATCCTAGAATTTTATCGAAACTTAGTAAGACTCCATCTTTTTAAAATAAATTTCTTTGGGATTAAGTGATTACATAAATTTAACAATATTTTAGGATAGTGATACTTAGCTAATGTCACAAACATATTTTAACTTTCACAAGGCGAATGACCATTATCATGGTCTATAAAGCTTTTGAACTCTTCAAACTTTGACAATACAAGTATTTCAGATTTACAGATTAGGTGATATGTACATTTATTTCCTTTTTTCCTAGTGCATGCTGTTCCCTCATTCTCTCTCATTCCCTCCTATCACTGCCTTTGGGTTGCTTCGTTCACTTTCATCAATTTCCAGTGCAGCTGATGGACCCCTCTGCTATATTTTTTCACCCGTTTCTCTCTGATTCTGTGCCCTCCTTCTATATTCCCTCTATGTGCACATGTATATATCATATGTGGGGTCAAGAATATAGAGTCATCTAAAAACAATATGACAAGTTAAGAAGACATCCTTTGCTTCTTGTGTCCTGTTGCATTTTGAATTTAACACCTGCATATCACAGAGACCATTTGCCGTGTTTCTCTCTGTTCTTGGCTTATTTCATTCAATATGATTTGTTCTAGTTCCATCCATTTCCCCGAGAATGCCATTATTTTGTTCTTTCTAATGTCTGCATTATATTACATTGTATATAGGTAGCACAATTTTGGATTCATTTATCTGTAGTGGGGCATCTTGCTTGTTAACATATCTTGGCTATTGTGATGAGTGCAGCAAGGAACATGGAGGTGCATGTGTCTTTGTATTCTGGTTCCTGTTGCTCAGGGTAGATGCCTAGGAGTGGTATGGCTGGGTTGTATGTTAGTCTATGTTTAGTTTTCTGAGGAACCTCCAGACTGCTTTCTAGAGTGGTTGTATTAATTTCCATTCTCACCAGCAGTGCAGTGGGGCTCCTCTTTCTCCACATCCCCATCAACATTTGTCTTTGGCTGAATTTAGGATATATGCCATTCTGACTGGGGCAAGGTGGTATCTCAGATTTTTTTATTTGCATTTCCTTTCCAGCCAGGGATGATAAACATTTCCTCATACGTTTCTTTGCCATTTTTATCTCTTCTGAGAAGTCTCATTTTAGCTCCTTTGCCCATTTAATGATTGATTTGTTATATTTGTGAGGGTTTAGTTTCTTGAGCTCCCTGTATATAATGGATATTAGGCCTTTGTCTGATATATTGCTGGTAAATACCTTTTCCCAAGTGGTTGGCTGTCTTTCTAGTTTGGTAATTATGTCTTTAGCTGTGCAGAAACTTTTTATTTTTAAGGTAGTCCCATTTGTTGAGTCTCTCTCCAATTTGTTGTGACCCTGGAACTCTGTTCAAGAAGTTCCTGCTTGTGCCTATAAGTTCTAGTGTCTCTTCTACTCTGTCCTGCAGTAGTTTCAAAGTTTCAGGTTTGATGTTGAGGTCTTTAATCCATTTCGTGTTGATGTTAATGATGATAGGCTGCGATCCTCTTAGTTTTCTGCATGTGGCTGCCCAGTTTTCCCAGCACCAATAGTTGAAGAGGCCATGTTTATTCCACTGTACATCTTTAGTCCTTTGTCGAATATCAGCTGATGGTAAGCAGGTGGTATTATTTCTGCATCTTCTAATCTATTCCATTGGCAAGATTCAATTTTTATATAAGAAATGATTATTATTGATTAATATAAATTTTAATGAGTAATACACCATTCAGAAGCATGGATTTCTTTGTTTACATAGTGTATCATTATAATTATCTAGTGTGCTGGTGATTTTTTTTGGGTGGTGGGTAACCTTGCGATAGATATGAATCTCTGGGATGATAGGCAAGTGTTCTATCAGTGAGCCACATCCTTAGTCACATGCAATCTTCAAAAGTTAGATAGTAAAAAACTTTCAATATTTATTCTGATTTTTTCATTCCATATATTATCCATATTTCATTTAATCTATGTATTGTAACATCTGTTTAATTTTACTTTTATGTTTAATGTAGCAATTGAATTATTTTAATTTCTTATTGCATCAACTTATCTTTTTTGTCTCCTTGAATTGTATTTATGTATTAGTGACTTCTTATCTTACTTTTTAGAATTGTGCTGGTGATGAATTAATATTTAAAAATACATCTTAGGTGACAGTTCTATAGTATTTTGTTTTGTTCCTTATTTGCAATTCATTTTACCCACCTGAATGCCTGAAACAGACGTTTCTTTTATATATTCCATAATTAAGCACATGTACAATATTCTTTTTTTCTTTTCTTTTCTTTTTGTCAGTCATGGGGCTTGAATTCTGACCTGGGCTCTGGGCCTGAGCTCTTCAGCTCTAGGCTAGTGCTTTACCACTTGAGCCACAGCACCAGTTCTAGTTTCTGGTGGTTAATGAAGAGTCTCACAGACTTTCCTTCCTGGGCTGGCTTTGAACCTCGATCCTCAGATCTCAGCTTCCTGAGTAACTAAGATTACAGGCATTAGCCATGGATGCCCAGCTCAATATTCTTTTTTTTTTAAAGCATGATTTAACACTTCAAATTTAATCTATATTTTCTCCTTTTTTAACTTTTAAGTAGTTATATCATAATTTATTCAGTTTTCTATTATGTGGAACACTTTGGTGGAGAGCACAAATTAATTATCTGGTTGTTTTTAAAAATTTACAAATATTGTTTTAAGCACCCATCAACTTTCATAGTTGGTAAAATTCTACCACTCATTAAGAAGTTAGTGTAGAATGTCCTGTATTTTTTAAATTCAGTATAGAGAAAATTAGAGGTATAAAAAATCTATATATTGTGTCATTTTCAGTAGTTTTGCCAATGAGCAGTAAATTAGCATTTACCAAAAGAAATTTAAATTTGTTCCATTTGAAATGATGCTTACTATATCATATTTGAATTTTTTCTTATTTGCATAGGAACTGTATTCACATTAAAAGTTTCAAGGAATTGGATCTAATATGTAATGTAATTTCTGAGTGCAATTAAAGGAATCTGCTCAAAAGTAATTTTCCTGGTAACTGAAACTTGCTATACGTTGGAGCAAGTTTGTAGAGGAACACATGTTCTCTGAAAAGTCTTCCTTTTTGATAATCACTACTATAGAAGTGAAGGTAGACCTTAACCATCTACAATGGAGGCATCTATAATTAATACTTGGAGAATTTGTTTTTTTTTTGGGGGGGTCCGGTTGTGGGTCCTGAACTCTGGGCCTGGGCACTGTCCCTCAGCTCTTCAGCTCAAGGCTAGCGCTCTACCACTTGAGCCATAGTACCACTTCCGGCTTTTTTCTTTTGCTTATGTGGTGCTGAGGAATAGAACCCAGGGCCTCATGCATGCAAGGCAAGCACTCTACCACTGAGCCATCTTCCCAGGCCTGAGAATTTGTTTTTGTGTATGTGTCAATCCTGGGGTTTGAACTTGGGACCAGGTCCCTTAGCTTTCTTGCTCAAGGCTAGTGCTGAACCACTTTAGTCACAGCTCCACTTCTTGCTTTGGGTGGTTAATTGGAGATAACAGTCTCAGGGATATTCTTGTATGAGCTAGCTTCAAATCATGATCCTCAGATTTCAGCCTCCTGTGTAGCTAGGATATAGGCATGAACCATTGGCAATTGGCTGAAGAATTTACTTTTGCGCTGGACTTTGAAGTATGGATAGAATTTTGATAGATAATAAAAGAAATACCTTGAACAAAGAAGTTATTGAAGTTATATCTTTCTTGAAAATACAATTTATATTGGAAAGTATAGAAAGATCATTTTGGGAAGATTGGTTCATAGTCACATATTGCATATACTAACTTTAGTATAAGGTTTTGATGCTTGTTTCACAGAAAGGCAAGTCCATTAGAGGTTTAATCTGATGGAAGCTGTGCTCATAATGACAAAATTATGATATGTAAAAATGGAGAGGCTGGCCAGGTGCTGGTGGTTCGCGCCTGTAGTCCTAGCTACTTAGGAGGCTGAGATCCAAAGATCATAGATCAAAGCCCAGGCAGAAAAGTGTGTGACACTCTTATGTCCAATTAACTACTAAAAAGCTGGAAATTGAGCTGTGGTGTAAGTTGTAGAGCCGTAAGTATAAAAAAGCCTAGGAGCAGTGCCCCTGGCCCAGAATTCAAGCCCCAGGAATGACCAAATAATGGAGAGAATATAGACAAATGTTAAATATTCTATATAAGTGAAATGAATAATAAAATTACTTATACATATGTGTGGGGAGTGATTATGTTCTAGAATTAGTGATCTTCAAATATGTGGATTTGGGAGTACCCATTGATTAGATAACTTTTTGACTTTGGTTAAGGTATAACAAAAATGTTGAGTGGAGAATGAAGGTCCGGGCCTGTTGATATGGATTTAAATATGTTGGAAACGTTGATTAACTTGAAGACAGGGAAGTATATATAAATACCTAAAGGAAAGGAACTTTCCAATAAAAAGGCTAGACTCTTAACTTTGGAACTAGACTCTTAACTTTGGAAAATATACATACATCTGAACAGCAAAGAGATGGCCAGAAGTGAATGGTAGAAATACTACCAGGGCTAATGTTGGTAGAGAAGTCTGCGAAGGAAAATGTTCTAAGTGAAATTCTTATTACTAATATCAAACTATTCAGAGATTCAATATTCATAATATCAAACTATTCAGAGATTCAATATTCAAAGAACATGCACTTTCATTTTTCCTGCATTAGTAAGTAGAACACAGTAATAAATCAAACATCTATTGAATAAAGAAAAGCAGAAATGTACAATAATTCATAATATGTAAGATGAAATAAACTCTAGCTTAAGAAAAGTTGGAATTTCATAATTCTCTTGGGAAAAAGATATTCCAATGACCAGATAAATATGACCTTCTGCACAAAAGCACAGAAGAAACATATATTGCTATTGTCCATGATGTATATACAAGTCATGTTTTAAACATTCAAAATATTGGGAAGATATTGCTTTAACTATGAAGAGAGAGATCCCTCTCTGAAACTCAAGTTACTTTAAAGAGCCAAAAAGTAAGTATATCTGCAAGTGGTAAAGGTAAGGATCTACTATTAAATTATGAAAAAAAACATTTATTTTATGTAAAACAATTGTTGTGGAGATAAGTTAAATTGTAATCATTACACCTTGGCACCACATGATGTCGCTGTCTGTCAAGTTCTGGCTAAACGAGAGCCAATGACGTTTCTGCAGCAACGTAAATCTTTTAATTGTTGAGCAGTGTCAGGTGCAGCAGAATAGAATTAAAAGATTCGAGACAAAACAATAGTTCATCTACATATCAAGACAAGATTTTCAAAGAAGAACAAAAGGAATACTTGACATGGTGTTTTCCTGGGAAGGAGCTCCGGATCCCCGGTGTCTGCTGCTCTCACTTCTGTTTCTGTCATCCTGGGAGGCAGGGAGCGGCCAGCTCCATTACTCGGTCCGAGAGGAGGCCAAACACGGCACCTTCGTGGGCCGCATCGCGCAGGACCTGGGGCTGGAGCTGACGGAGCTGGTGCCGCGCCTGTTCCGGGTGGCGTCCAAGGGCCGCGGGGACCTTCTGGAGGTAAATCTGCAGAATGGCATT